AATATATTTAGTACCGTATCAAATAAGTTTACTTGTGCGGAAGTACGAGTATCTTACTAGTTAATACAAAAAAGTAAGTTTTATAGGTGAAAAGAAAAGTCGTATATAGCCAGAATGAGAAACTGAAACTAACGGTCTAAAGAGAAAAACATAAAAACCAAGAAAAGAAGAAAATTTTACCCCATACCCCATCATTTATTTCCATACCCCTACATTATATATTTTTTTACCAAAATATCCTCATATAAATAATTGTAAAATTTTCTTGATTTAATTATTTGATCCAGAATTTAATAAATAAATCTATCTTTAAAAACTACTTTATTAATATTTTCATCAAACATGACAAGTATTATCTATATCTATTATATAATTTTATAATGTTTCCATTAAAGATTCTCCGCTAAATTTTTTTATTTAATTAATTAATTAAATATAAATATATTTATTATTAACTCTATCATTTAAAACTTTTGACTAAATCAAATTCTTATATTTTAAATAATTATTAATTAACAAATGCAATAAGACAAGTCCTGAATTTTTTTTAAAATGCAGTCACCTATCAATAATATATTTACCATAGTAACTACCCAGCATAACTTTTCTCTTCATTCTATTAATTATCTTTTATTATTAATAATTAAATATTATTATTATTAATTAAATAATAATTAAATTAAGGTCACAAATCTCTAATGATGATTCAATGTCACACCTAAGTCACGTACGAAGTCCAATAGACACTTACAAAAATTCTCATTCCTCAAATTAATCCAAAGAACTAAATATATATATTTTTATTTTTATTTTATCATTTTTTGTTTATTTTTTAATAATAATTAAGAATTATAATTCCTAAGACCAAAATTAAAATCAATTATAAAATGAAAATCATTAATCATAAAAATCAAAACAACTAATCATAAAAATTTAAAATTTCTAACTATAGACTTTGAAATTAATAAACTAAAAGAAGAAAAACTTTGTTATCACTAAAACTTTTTAAAATTACTAAAAAAACTTAAAAATGCTCTTGAAGTTTAAAAAAAAGAAGACAAAGTTAAGAAAAAATAAGAGTAATCAAAGAAATAGTAAGGAAAATAGAAAACCAAAAATAAAATAAAGATTTGCATTATTATTAGTTTAATCTTTGCCTTTATTTTTGGTTTTAATTTTATATTTATTAATTTATTTTTGTATTAAGTAATTTTAAGATTTGCATTATATGTCTAATTTATTTATTTTTTTAATTTAATATTATTATATGTCCTATTATTGTGGGGTTAGAGAGATGTTAATTGTTTGTATGATATAAATAGAGAGGGTTGAGTGGAGAGAAAATTGAGAAATAAACATGTTAAATATTTTAATTTAATTATTATTTAATTAATAATAATAATATTTAATTATTAATAATAAAAAATTAATTAATAGAATGAAGATAAAAGTTATGTTGGGTAGTTACTATGGTAAATATATTATTGGTAGGTGACTGAATTTTTAGAATAATTCAGGATTTGTCTTATTGCATTTGTTAATTAATAATTATTTAAAATATAAGAATGTGACTTAGCCAGAAGTTTTAAATGATAGAGTTAATAGTAAATATATTTATATTTAATTAATTAATTAAATAAAAAAAATTAGCGAAAAATCTTTGATGAAAACATTATAAAAATCTTTACGAATATTAATAAAGTAGTTTTTAAAGATAGATTTATTTATTAAATTATGGATCAAATAATTAAATTAAGAAAATTTTACAATTATTTATATAAGAATATTTTGATAAAAAAATATATAATGTAGGGATAGGGGAATAAATGATGAGATATGGAGTAAAATTTCCAGAAAAGAAAAAACTAAGTTAAATGGGCTTAATGGATTTGGGCTGATGTATGTTAACACGAGCTTTTTCAGTAGCTAGTGCGTATGAAAACATATTTGCAGAATATAACGAGTCTGTTTAATCATGGATATATATATATATATATATATATATATATATATATATATATATATATATATATATATATATATATATATATATATATATATATATATATATATATATATATATATATATATATATATATATATATATATATATATATATATATATATATATATATATATATATATATATATATATATACTCAATATTCTCGAGTGGATAAAGAATTTTGTTTGGTTGATTAATCATGGCAGACTGCTTACAAATGAGTAATTATACAGACTTCATATATGTGATCCTTGGTGTTTAGACTGTCACGATGCAATTGAGGATATTACCCATATGTTAAGAAACTCTGGAGTGGCTAAGATGTGTGGTCGTCCCTTAGGTTCACTAGGTAGATTTCTTTGGTGCTAATCTACAAAACTGGATTACAAGTAACTTGGATAATAATTATGATTACGATGGCTTCATGAGTTGGGGAGAAGTCTGGGCGACATCATGCTATACTTTGTGGTATTGGAGGAATAAGCGGAAGCATGAATAAGCTTACAGTATCCCTAATAACTTAACTATAAACATGGTTGATGAATATTCTGCTAATGCTATTTTTTAGCGAGGCCTCAATTTGAATCTGCAGGTTATGAAATACGTTAGGTGGATACTGCCAGAAGAAGACTATATTGGGTTAAATGTCGACAACACGGTAAACAAGCAATCAAAGTCAGGTTGTGGGGAGTTTGTGTGGAGGTTTTTCAAAACTCACTCGTATCTACAGTGTAGAGGTGACAAAGATATGAGGAGTGTTTGAGGGTCTGAAATTGGGGTTTGACAAATGAATTACAATTAGACAACAAAAATATTGTTGAGGGCCTCGAATTTAAGAATCACTTTTGGTGCATCAAATGATATTTTGAAGCAAATTAATCACATGCTATCGGGTAATATTGTTGTGTTTCGTCCACGTCTATAGAGAAGCTAACGGATGTACTGATGTAATGGTCCTTCTCCATGATCTGGGGTCTCAAGTTTTTGAAAATTGTCCAGAGAAATTAATTCCTATGCTCAATAATGATATCTTAGGAGCTTTTACCCCTCATGTAACCTTTGTTTACCTTTTTTTTCCTCTTTGGACTTAAGCTCTCCTTCATCTAAAAAAAAGTTGTGTTAAAATAAATATGTCTATTCAATTTTACGCATTTAAGAGCATTTGTTTTTAGGTAAAACGGCTGCAGTTATTAGAGAGATAGAGAGAGAATTTGAACAGAAAAAATTGTGCTTAGGAGACGTCTTGACTACCAAATCTCTTTTGTTGGCCACCTTTTCTTCTGGTCTATCCACTCGTAGCGGAGGAAATAGGTTGGATCGAGTCAGTCTTTGTCAAGCCTAAGTCTGTCCTGCTAAAAAATTTAAAGTCTAAGTCTGACCTGTAGTCTATCATAAACTTATTTTTAGGCCTAAGTCTGGCCTTTTCGAAGGTCTGAATGACCTACTAGTCTATTTAAACACATACTTCATTTAAACATTTGTAAATAATAAATTCAACTAATGTTAAATAGACTAACAAATTAAAAGATCATTGATAGTAAATGTTTGTTTTCATTGTCTAATTCAAGTTTACATATTAACATAAATTTGGTGATACTATTTGTTGGAGAGAACTTATGGAAAAAAACTTATGACAATAACTTATGATATTGTTCATAATGTTTAATAAACTTATTTTCATAAGTTGTTCAAAATAATTAAGTTTTATTTTAATATTTTAATTCTAAGTACAAAATACAATATAATAATAATAAATTTATTGAATTTTTTATTAATAGATCGGCTTGATAGACTTTTCTTACAGCTTGTGGCCTAACCTCCTTAGCCTGGCCTGAGCCTATGTAGGCTAGACCGTAAGCCACTGTTAGTTGGTCTGACCTATTCCCACCCCTACCCACGGACAAATTTCAACCATTCTATTATCTTTAAATAAATAAGAATATTGTTGAATAAAGTTAACAACTACTCTCTCTATTTCTATTTTTGTGTTACTTTTTTGATAATTTTTTTTCTTTTTAATTATCATTTACAAAGTTTAAAATAATATTAATTGCATTTTTGTTAAAATTATTTTTAGATATATACTATAGAAACAGAAAAAGTAAAATAAATGTTATAAATAATTAAGGATATTATAGATAAAAGAAAAATTATTGTTTGAAAAATAACAATGTTAATTAGCATTATTAGTGTGTATATAAAAAGTAAAAAAAAAGACAATTAAAAGGGAATGGGAAGCGTATTAATAGTAATAATAATTTGGTATTTTAAAATAATTTATGATTGCAATATTTCAAATATGAGATCTGAGATTTATAAATATTGATTCCTTCTAAATTAAAAGGAGCATGATGAGACCCCAAAACCAAACCAATGTTCCAACTTTACACGCTGTTAAGTGTACGTTATGCAAATTGCAATTAATGAGCTCAATGATTGATATAAAGTGAAAAGAAAGTTACACACTAGAATTGGTAGTGTTGAAAATGTGCGATTGACATGGTTTCGTTTTATATGGTATATTGACACATGAGGTTTAAGGGCTGGATGCCACATGGTGCTAACAGATGATTTTGCTAACTACATTATCACTTAATAAATAAAATAAAATCCTGACAATAGTGATTAATATAATATCACAATAAACTAAAACTTATTTGAGACATGACTTTATTTTTTGATTAAGGGATTTTCATGAACCAAAATCCATAATAAACTTTACAAGGAAAATACTCCAAAACACTGGTGAAATAGAGTCAACATGTTGCTACTTCTAAGTCATAAAAAATCTTCCACAGTCTAAACTATAAAATGACTCTTGCAGTTTGCGGTTGAATTAACAAATCCATCTATAGAGTAAAACCTTAAATGAAAATTAACACGTCTTAATGCCTGAAACACTTTAAGGCATGATAAAGTTTTTTTTTCTTTCTCAAAAACAAAAATAAAAAGGCATCAACTTCAGATTATCATCATAATGGTGAAATTTTACTAATCATTCTCTCCTTGCAGTTTCACTACTGCTCTTGAGGTAATCTGCTCTTATTGCCCATAATTGTTCACAAACAGCTTTCATGTCAGGTCTATCTGATCTTACTGGTGCTGCACAGCTAAATGCCAAATCTATCATCTTCATGACAACGTCTGTTTTTACAGCTTCTTGCATTAAAGGGTCAAGCAGTTCCACCATATTTCCTTCATTATATTTCTTGAAGGCCTGCAAAAATATAAGAAGAACCGCTTAGTTTAATTTGAGTGCTTAAATGAAGATGAACAATCAATTTTTGCATCAATTACTACCGCAATGATTACTAAATAACAAGAAGATGTCTCATGATTACTAGTTCATTAGAAAATCTTGCATAATGCTTTTCAGTTCAGTAAACTTGGCCGTGTTACTAATGACTATAAAATGCCAGAAGAGAACAAGTTGCAACTAAAGTTCTTCAATGGGAAATCACAGTTAATTTTGCTGAGAGCCCAACATCTATCTGTTATATGGACTTAATTAGTGCTTATGACTTATAAGGCATGGATAACCCTCCATTTTTGAACTGATTTTGCAGGGTTGAGAAATTTTAAGATTGTATCAAAGTTTATCCTAAATCTCTTATAATGTTTTGTAGGGGGTGAGTTAGATCCTAAACTCAAATTCTAAAATAGTATCAAAGCCTACTATAGATGTTTTTTGGGTCAAAATCTTTGCTACTCCATCCGCAATTGTCCATACTTCAGGTGTCTGGTCCTAGAGATATTAAGTAGTGTTTATAAGACTTGGACAGTCTTCGTTTTACAGTCAGTTATTTGGGGGATTGAGTTAGGCACTAATCCCAAATTGTATGAAGTTTGGTCAAACTGTAAAATTTTACACCCAATGGGAAATAGTAACATACTCAGTTTCATTGCGACAGCAATATTCTATTAAAACATAAGGGTATGATAATGCTGAAACCGGGTCAACAGCATAAAATTCATAGATGACTCCAGGTAAACTCCTGAAGCAGCATCTGTGACGAGACAGGGCACCGGTAGTAGATAAGATCTATAGCATCCATTTCCATTGCATAAATTTCTCTCATCAATTGATACAATTCCTTTTGGATTGAATCAGTCTGCAACTCATCAAATTATTATCCCCACTGAGAATATGACGAAAATGATAAATTTCTCTGAAGTGATGGCAGAAGTTATATTTCTAAAGAGGTCCCTAACTTACAGGAGGATCACTTGGCTGGATGCAAGTCTATAATGGTATATCATCTTTTCAAAGTATGGAAACATTTAAATGGATAGTTAATTACTGTAAAAAAATATATCAAAATAAGAACAAATTGTGAGCATACCCATCTTAATGTAACTCGCTCTTCAGGAGTTTTTTTCATTTCCACAGGACGGCGGCCAGTCAGAATTTCTAAAAGCAAAATTCCGAACGAGTAAACATCACTTTTGGGAGTGAGATGGTAGGTTTTCATATACTCAGGGTCCAAATAACCAACTGTTCCCTTCACTTTTGTAGAAATGTGTGTATGGTCATTGCTTACAGGACCAAGCTTTGCAAATCCAAAATCAGCGACTTTAGCTCGCATCCTTTCAGTCAGAAGAATGTTGGATGATTTCACATCTCGATGGATGATTTGTTTTTCTGGTTTAAGAAAAGGGTTAGGCATCAGTTCGAAGATCTATAATCATTATTAGACTATATAGGGAAATTATAATGCATCAGTATGCCAAAATAAGTCAAAACCTTAAAGCCTAATAAATAAGGCAGAAAGTAAAAAGTAGGAAGTGCTTAAAAAGGTATCAATGATCGCTACTTGAGAATTTTGAAGAGAATAAACTGTGATTGAATGAACAGACAACATATAATTTCGGTTCAAGTTGCTTTCTTAAAACATCTGTTTATAGTAACTAACATGCAGTCTGCATTTTATATTTGGTTTGTATTCAATGAAAATGTAGAATGTGAACAGATTTTGCATAATAAAGAATGAAGGGATTACTGACCGGCATACAGATGCAAATACGTCAATCCATGAGCAACATCAATTGCAATTTCAAGCCGCTGATTAAAATCCAGGATTTTTCCAAACAAACCTACCAGCAGTATCAAAACGATAATCAGTATTACTTTCCATATTTTAATACAAATACCGGCAAAGAACATCACACAGCCTTACCATCCAAATGTTCTCGAAGAGTGCCATTTGGCACAAACTCTGTAATAAGGATACGTTCGTTTCCTTTGTCAATATAACCAAGTAGTTTCACCAGGTTTCGATGATCAATTTTGGCCAGAAGTTCGACTTCACTGCTGAATTCTGTTCTCAAACTCTCAAAATGTTCCTATATGGTTCAATCATGTCAATATGTATGTCATCACTAAAATAAGAAAGTATTTCTACCAATTTTAGAGGTACAGAATAGTCAAAACAGTTCATAATATAGTACTATATCAAATCAGTAAACAAACTTTATAATAAAAAGAATCCAGAACTTTAGCACTCTAAAACTGGCTGCGGATTTATAAACTATAGACATCAAGAGATAATTCTTACCCTTTTTGCACGTTTTACAGCCACAACCAGGCCATCATCTAAATTAGCCTTGTAGACAGTTCCAAAACCTCCTTCTCCTATTTGTAATGTTTCTGAGAAATTACGGGTGGCTTTAGAAACCTGACTCAGGTTGAGATGTAATGATTGAAGTCTACTGAGTTTCGGAGACATTGAGAATCTTGATGGACTTTGTGGCACCCGAAGTGGACTAGACGGGATCTTATCAGAAACAGATGGTTCAAAGGAGGAAGCTAAATCCACTGAAAAAGCAAAAGTGTTCATCAGTTTACTCGTCATTCAAAAGTAATAGCAAGCACAATCTTGAAAATTGAAGAAAAAAAAAGTATACGATAACAATGGTAACTGAAAATTAAAGTAATGAAGTACAGGCTACTCCCTTTGTTCCAAAATAAGTATCGTTTTATTTTTTCAATACACAAGATGAAATACATTATCGCAGTTTTACCCAAAATTAATACTATGTGCCTCACTTTTAGTTCATTTCATTATACCATACCACGCATTTATAACAACTGTTTATAAACCAATAGTTAATAAGGACACTTTTGTAGCATTGTTACATTTATTCATTCATTTATTGTTTTTCTTAATATATATGGGAAAAAACCTCAAACAATACTTATTTTGGAACGGAGGTCATTTATTGTATTTATCAAACTATGAAGTTTAGAATCATACCCTTCCTCTCTTCTGAATTCATAGCATGTCCTGAATGCACATGTTTGGATACAAAGTTATCAAAGATAACTCGGAAAAATAAGGAGGTAAAAAAAGTATATATGAGAACATGAACTCACTTGAATTTGAGTCCTTTTCTAGAACAGCATGAGCAGTTGTCTTCCTTCTCTTCCCATAGAAACAAGGACAAACAATAGCACAACATACCAACAAAGCTCCACCTGCAAAAATTCCAACATGGTTGCTTGACACATGCTTAGAATCTCCTTGTGATGTGGAGTTATTGTTCAAATCTTTCTGCAAAAGTTTCCTTCCTCCCTTTGATGGCAAATTCACTACAAGCAATAGATTAACACAAATGAAAAATTGCAACAAAAAAAATAAAAATTGTGCATCATAAACTAACACTATGTTTCACAAACCATACCAAAAGAGACATCCAAATCCAAATCAAGAACACAGTGATTGCTTTCAAAGTAGTCATTCACATCACAACCGTTTACAATATACAATTTCAGAGCTTTACAGAAACCAACTTTGCTCACAACATTCCCATTTATGTAAAACAATTCCTCCCCATGACTAGAAATCGAATTCGCTACCGAAACCGAATCATTGCCACAATCCTTTGTCAGTAAAACATCTCCAGACCCAAAAATTGTTGACAATTGCAACAATATCACCAAGAACAAAACAGTATAATCCATTTTCAACTAAACAGTACACTCCAATCACAGATTTGTGCCCTAATACACAACAAAATCATTCCCTTACTGTAAACACAAATTTTGAGCTATGATTCCACTAGAAAACTTGTCTGAAAAGCAATTAATCAAAACCTAAAACTCAATTTACCAAATTAGGAAACCATGAATTGATGAAGAAACTATATTATCAAGTGATGAAAAAGGAAAGTTCAATTTCCAAAACGTGGAACAGAAAATCTGAGAGAGAAAATCACAAGAAAAGAGCTAGGTTGGAAATTGAACAAGTGATGAAATACATAAATTAATAGTAAATAATAAAAAATAAAATAAAAAAGCGAATTGAGTTTGAATATTCTGGAATAAAAATGTGTTAAATTTAGTTGCAGATAAGAATAAACATAGTTCACTCATTAATATCAAACATAGTTTTGCACTTTCATATAGAGAGAGAAAGAAGAAGATGGAATACGAAGGTGGACTATGACGTAATTTCGCAATTGCCGTCTATACGTAATATTATAATATTCATTGTCTGAATATTTATTTATTTATTTTTATTGTATGGTTAATTTATGTATGTATGTATATTGCTATTGTTATTGAAAATATGAAGATGCCGTGGTTGACCGATGTTGAGGGCTACTTGAGTTGAGTTGAAATGAATTGCGCGGAAATTACATTGCGAGGGGTATATTTGGCATTCTGAAAAATATATCATGTTGGTTTTTTTGAGTTTATTTTATTTTTGAAAAGGGTTTTTATGAGTTTAGTTAATGTGAAAAGGGTTCACACGTGTGACTGAAAATGGTAACCACTTGGTATTGGTATGTAGAAAGTTCTGAAATTGTAGAACAAAATCGAAGTTGACATTGGTTGATTAATGATAGTTCAGTTAAGTAGCCCCAGCTTGAAGCTCACGCTGAAATAAATGGAGCACTCGTATTATTTAAGTTATATTATTATTTTAAAAAATTGTATATTAATTTTAATAAAAATATAAACTAATTATTTAATTATTTTTTTAATATAAATATTTTATAAGTGGATTTTTTTAAATTTGTGACATTGAGAACACAAATTCACATTATCCAATTAGTATTAGTAATAGTAATACAAAGATCAATTATAATACAAAGATCAATTATAGTGGAGAGTTGTGGTTGGAGCAAGTGTGGGATGATCAATTTTTTAACATTAATAAAATAGACAAATGTATATCATCAGAAATAAAATAAAATAGATAGATGTATTCAATGTTTTAAAAATTGGATTGAATCGGTATGTTTAACTAATTAGACTAAGAATTGGATATGAATCCGGTTGAATTAATCTTTTAAAATCGGAGTTAAACTGAAAAAACTGGATTGAACCGTGCAAAACTATTCAAACCAAAGAACCATAGCCGGATTTGTAAAATCGCCCAGTTCAAAAAAATTCATCAAATTGATCATTTTTTAAATTTTTTTAAAAAAAATTAATATATTAATATCAAAACTTAACATACATTTCTCAATTACAAAAAAAAATTTCGTGTGTTTTTTACAGCCATACAAACTTCTATGTTTTGTCACTCTATTATAATTTTTCTTTCAACCACACTTCACCATCATCATGTCGTCTTTTTCAAACATAGTCACGATGTTCAACTCTATTGATTGTCGCTCAAGTCTATATTATTTGTTGTTGTCAATTAAGACTTGTTTGTCGTAGTTCAACTCAATTTTTTTTTGTTTAATGAAATATATTGTGTTATGGACTGGGCCGACACTTGGCCCACAGTCGAGCAGGTCCTCTCCCACGTCGGGTTGGAAGGCCAATAAGGCCTAAACCACCTCCCCGTCGGGATGGCCCTTTCTCCCGTCGGGCATAACCCTTTCTCCCGTCGGGCACGAACCTCTTAGCAGTCAAGCAGGCACCTTACATCTGCCTGACACGCTCTCCCTTCTGCCCAATCGTCGGGCAGACCCTATCCAGCTCTGGGACTCCTCTGACCTCCCCCACGTTCTCAACGTGTCCCCTACGCGGAGACACGTCATCAGATAACTATCTGTGTCTTGATTATTCGGTCCTCCACCTCTCAGATAGCACGAAACAGTTACACTAGGGCGAATACCACATGCTAATCTTCCTGACGCCACGTCAGCCATAACAGTCACCAGCATTGGGCCTGACAGCCCAGCCCAACGCAGAGTAACCGTTAGCCATGCGCTAGGGACACATTATAAATACCCTATTTCACTAGAGGGTCAGGTAATCTCATTCTTACTTTTGTTTATGTACTTGTTATCACTCTTCCCGACTCTTACTTTGGCATCAGAGTGTGTTTCAGGTACACCCCATCCATTCTCCCCAGCAGTCAGACAGCTCAGACGTGTGGTCGGCCCGTGACTCCTTTTGATCAGGTGAGCACCCGCAAATGAACTATCAAGCAGAGGCCGCGAACAGAGTCATCTTGCAGGGCCTAAAACGACGACTCGGGGACGCCAAGAAGAGATGGGTCGAGGAGCTCCACAACGTACTCTAGGCTTACAGAACGACGCCCCACTCGACCGCCGGGGAGACCCCTTTCCGACTAACCTACGGGACCAGACCGATGATCCCGGTAGAAATAAGGGAGTCGTCCAGAAGAACTGAGTCCCCCCTCGAGGATGAGGCCAACGACGAGGCCCTTAGAGATGAGCTCAACCTAGTCGAAGAGATTCATTCAAGGGCAACTCTTGGCGAAGCCGCATTAAAGCATAAAATTACCCTTCGCTATGACAACAAAGTCATAAAACGTAAGTTCTAGGTCGGCGACCTGGTCTTGCGAAGAAGCTAGAGGACTCGCGCGAGGGCAAGCTCGCTGCAAATTAGGAGGGTCCTTACCGTGTCCGGGATAAAACGGAACACGGGGCCTACTACCTCGAAAACTTACACGGGGAGGAAATTGCTCGACCATGGAACGTTGAGAAGCTCAAAAGATACTACAGTTAGACACTGTCCGCGATGATCAACCTCGCGACCGCGGGAGCGCGACCTGGTACAAATGCGTCTCCCAAAAAAGAGATGACAAACGCCTGCCCTTTTGTGTGTGCGGGAAGAACCCTCTATTCGACGGGGATCCCTCAACCGAGCTCCACCACCGCCGTACCAAAATGGTAGAACACCCAGCTCGCGACAGGATGTTCATGCCGCGGAGAGAGGGCCGCGATCACGGCCCCCACTTCGTAACCGACCATGTAACAACCCCGGTCACCCGATCAGTTCCCTATACTACCGGGCACAACAGACAACGTCAAGCTACCACTCCCACAACAATATATAAACATGCAAACAAGTATACAAAAAAACATGCAAACGGGCATGCATAAACAAATAAATGAGCACACACAAATACTTAACAAAAACGATAAACAATTGTTATATAATCACAGGCATGAGCCCAACTGTTCAAAGATTACAATAAAGGGCACAAGGCCCAAACAACATTCAAAAATTATTCCATGGCACGCAGGCCAACAATAAATGGGCACGCATGCCGCACAAACTCCTAATCGTCAGTATGATCCTCTCCTTCTAGGACATGTTAGTCCCCCTTGTCACCGTCTGGTCCGTCGAGCACCACAATGCAATCACCTTGGACTTGACGGTAGGGGCCTGTCCCCGTGGTCACCAAATCCACGTCGGGGTTGGTAAGCCGAAGTTGGGCCACGACGCTCTTAAAACCCACCTCGACGGCTCCCAGACATTCATCCTCAAACAACCAGATCTTTTCCACCAACTCGCATCGGGAAACCAACAGTTTTTCCTCTTCAGGCTCTTCCCCGGCTAGAGCCAGTAGGCCCTCGATTTCAGCAACCTTCCCCTTCATCTGAGTTAGCTCGTCATCCCCATCCTTCACCGTTTTTTCGAGCTCCTTGATTCGTTTGCGCTGGGTCTTATCCTGCCTCTGATATTCCTTCTGGTAAGCAACCAGGTTAGACCTATCCTCCTCAGACACTGCTAACTCACCCCGCACTGTTGCCAAGTCTTTCGAGGAACAAGCCTCCTCATTGAATGCGAGAGCCGTTTCAAACGCCCTCACCACCGAGGCCAGGTCGTCTGACAGCATCTTCCTCTGGGCCTCTTACTGGCAGCCAAGATGGTCTTCGTTTCCTCGGGAGCCACGATAGAGACGTTATCCTCGATAAAAAAGTTGGGTCTTAGACAGCAGGGGGAAGGATGAAACGACGGTCAGGAGAGCTGTTTGTCAGGTCGATCGGGGAAGTCTCAGACTCTCGGCGCCTCTTGGGGATCGACTGGGTAACCGGGGATCCGCTACCTTGGGGGGAAGGAGTCGAGCCCGCCGGTCCAGCACCGACCTCCTTTCGAACAATAGCAGACCTCCCCGTAGGACGTCGACCACCTCCTTTGAATAGCTTCGTGACACGTTCTTCCATAGAACCCATAACACCTGCAAAGAAAACACAAAAAAAGCAGTCAGTATGGGAGCTCAAAACAAAACAAAATAATCTGAGGAAGCTGTTCGCTACCTAAGAAATGATGAGCCTCTGCCTCTCCCGGCACTCGAGGAGAGCCTTCGTGTTGATACATCTAGTCTCAGTCTGGATCTCCCCGTTGGCGTCGCGGATGTACTTCCCATCCGGGGTCACACATTTGCGAGGGGGAGCCACCCAACAAAGTCGACCAATTTCTTAAAGGCCAAACTATCATCCTCATCCAGATGGTTAGGTCGATAGGTGAAGCTCTCCATGCTAGATTGGAAATGCAGCTCCATCCACTCCAAGGGGAAATGGGAATGGAAGTCCACCTCGGGCTTGCCGTTCACCACGGTAACCTCACGTCAGAATAACGTATTGATGGCCCCATCCGTCTCCGGCATCACCACATACCACCTGTCTTTGAACCCTTGGAAAAAATCCGTGTATGCTAGGAAGAGCCTGGTCGGCTGCTTCAGGGATACCCAGTTGTGTCGCCCAGACACAGTCTGCCGTTGTAGATGGAAGACACAGAAGAATAAT